TATATCATCGTGTGGGTAGATGTTTATCCATGTGCAGTCTTATATCAATATAAGGTGCCGATGTCTGTGTGTGGTAGAGAATCTGGGGCACGCGTTTCTCCAAAATTTATACACCTGTATATGATATCCACATAGAATTGCGCATAAATACATTTATATAAGGGTGGGAGCGGGGGCTATTCCTTGTTAGCAACAGTACGTTAAATGTACTAAATCCATACCATATATACTCATTCTATGACATACATGATAAAAATTGGGTTGTATATATTTATAATCTTTAAGCATCCACACATAACTGTGTATGTAATAAATATATCTATAAACGCTTATATAGGTATGTGAGCTGGGACGGTTGACCGAGAAAGACGCGTCGGTCATGCTGAGGCAGGTCTGTGAAGCGCTGAGACATCTTCACTCACGTGGTATATGTCACAACGATGTCAAGCCGGAGAATCTGCTACTAACAAGCAGGTAAGGACCTGTACTGTATCAATTTTTCATTTGCAAAGATAAATATAGAGCACGTTTTTACGCAAACATGTGAGTTCTTATGCAGATATATGACACAAACCTGTCTGATAGACACAGATATATGACACAAACCTGTCCGATAGACACACATACGGACACATGCACGTATTTGGAAAGGCTGAATCGATGGGGTTATCGAGGTGGTTTTACATCCGCACACACGAGCTGCTTATATCTGTGGACGTTTGTTTAACATTTTTCAACGATATACACGTGTTGTCATGCTTGTATCCAAACACAAGTCCACCTATGTATTTGCGAAGACCAGCTACAGATCGGGTCACTCCCTCCCTTATGTCATCTCAGCAGTCCCTGCTCATATGCAGCTGGGGTACCTCCCACATTTGCCTCTACTCATTTGTCATATGAAGACATACCCCTCCTTTGTATAGAGCCTATTGCACGTCACCTAAGATAACTGATCTGGACACAGCTATATATATATATATATATAAGTGTGTGTGTGTGTGTACTATTTACTTGTATGTGTCTGTTGTATATATGTATGTATGCATGTATGTATTTATATATATATTGTATTATATATATTTATATTTTATATATATATTGTATTATATATTTATATATATATATATATGTATGTGTGTATATATATATATATATATATATTCTATTTATATTGATATTTATCACTTTTAAGTTTCGATATACCATACCGTGTACTATGCACACAATCCCTCTGTATTATGAAGGCTTATTTACATATGAAGTTTGTCAGATAATTACATGTCCCAAGTGTATCAGGGCTTCCAACGGTTCTTTCAAACTGATTGATATCGGCACGACAATCCCCTGCCCCTTGTAGACCGGCCACCCGTTCATATAATATTTAAAAAAATCTACCTACACACAAGCGCTTACTCACCCATGGTACACTACAGTATCTTATCCATTCCTATCATCCCTACACACGAGCGCTTACTCACCTATGACACACTACAGTATCTTATACGTTCCTATTGCTACCTAATATCCCTCTCTATCAAACAGAGCATCCAACGCGTCCCTCAAGCTAGTTGATTTCGGCACGAGCATCTTCATGGATGAACCCGTGCTCTTTGACAAGCCGTCCGGCACTGCCGCATACCGCTCACCAGAGACTATCTGTCACCAGCCCAGCGAACGCTCTATCGACATGTGGGCGTTTGGGTAGGTGCATAGAGCACCATGTGACTTATAATAGTAGTAGAATACCATTGTTGTTATATATATGTGTGATTATGTGATATTGTTCAGTTTCCGTATCCCTAGCGACTATCTGTAACCAGCCCAGCGAACGCTCTATCGACATGTGGGCGTTTGGGTAGGTGCATAGAGCAACATGTGACTTATAATAGTAATAGAAGTACCTCTGTTGTTGATATATAAGTGTGACTATGTGATATTGTTCAGCTTCCGTATCCCTAGAGACTATCTGTCACCAGCCCAGCGAACGGTGTGCTTTCGGGCGAGTTCGTGCGCTTATTTGGTGAGTTGGAACTGGCTGCAGAATGAGTGTACCTGATTTAATAGTATACTTGATGATCTCTGAGTCCCATGTAATTGAGGACAGTCTGTCTTCAGCACAGGCAACACTCCATTGTTAGTAGGGCCCTCCTATTTGCTTCGTCTTGTGTGTAGTGGTGTTGCTAATGGTCTAGATGTGTATGTTTCAGTCTCATCAAAGACTGACTGTCCCACTCTCTCTCTCAGAAAAACACGCCTCACTGACGTTTGGGTAGGGGTCTAGTACGTGCACTTATGTCTCTACCGGACAGGTGTGGTCGTTATAGACAGTCTCTTGAGTCGAGTCCACCCTTGCATTTCGCGTACAGCGCAGTGAATTCAGCATCAGGCTGTGCATATATACTAGCCCTTTGAATTCACCTGATCTATGCATATAAACTAACGTTTTGAATTCATCTGGTCTGTGCATGTATACTAACGTTTCGAATTCATTTGGTCTGTGCACAAATACTAACACTTTGAATTCACCTGATCCATGCATATATGCTACCGTTTTGAATCCACCTGATCTGTGCACATATACTAACCCTTTGCATCCATCTGGTGTCTGGTCATGGGTTGTACCCCTCCAGGATTGTCATGTACATCATGCTCTGATGCATATATACTAACCCTTTGCATCCATCTGGTGTC